CTCTCCCGCCTCCCTAAAGCCGCGGACCTTCCCACCAGCCCAAGTCGTCCTGCAGAGAAGCTGGAAATGGGAAAGCCCGCAGTGGAGCTGGACCGTCTGCAGGCTCCTCCCTGGGCCCAGTCTTTTTATTTTCACTGATTTCAGAGAGGAAGGGAGAGGGAGAGAGAGAGAAACATCAATGATGAGAGAGAATCATGGATTGCTGCCGGCTGCAGGCCCCCCACTGGGGATCGAGCCTGCAACCCGGGCATGTGCCCTTGACCAGGAATCAAACCATGACCTCCTGGTTCATAGGCTGATGCTCAACCATTGAGCCACGCCAGCTGGGCTGGACCCAATCTTTACACCCATAATAACCACACCCCTGCCACTTGGCAGTGCCCTGGTACTCCACGTCCCAACTTCAAATTCTCCCCCACTGGGGCCTCAGGGCCGCGGGATCCAGGTGGTCGCACAGGGGAGGCACCTGCTCTGGGGGAGGTCTGCAGGTGGCCTCAGGAGAATCTGGGCTCAGAAGCAGCGTTCCCGTTGGCAGAGTGAGGGGCTCGGTGAGCTGTTTCATGGACCCCGTGGCCTCTGTGGACACGCCCGAGGGTCTGGCTGGGAGAGACGGCCCGTGCGGGTCCAGAGGCCCCGGAGGGCCAGGCCACACTCCCCTGTAACAAGGCAGAGGGGAAGGGGCCGGAAAGAGGGTGGGCTGGGGGTCCTGCTGCCTCACAGATGAGGTGGGGGGAGGAGTAGGTGGGGGACAGCCATCATTTCAATATCCATTTGAAGAGAGAGACCCAAGGCTTGAGCCCAAACAAGCAACACATCTCCCACTACAAACACATAAGCCGGACCTCCTATTCCGGACCAGCCCCTGCTTTTCACAGGCAGCAGGACCAGAGAGGGGCGGTTACTAAAGGAACGTCACACAGCCCTGTTGGTCGCAGAGCCAGACTTCAAACCCATGCTTTAGAAGAGGCCTAGGAAGGAGCAGGGATGTGACCTGGGCTCACCCTGGACATCAGCACCTCTGCCTCTTCCTCTTCCTCTTCCTCTCCCGGCTAAAGGCTAAGGGGGCTCTGCCCGGGCCTTCCCTGAGGCCACACCTGATCCTGTACCCCTCTCCCCTCCCCAGCACCCCTGGTCTCAGGGCCCAGGAAACAGCACCCTTTGGGCCTGGCCGCAGGCCTCCAGCACAGGGACTTGAACCGTATCACAGGACCCAGCAACGCCTCTTCCGGATACACCCCCCAAAGAACTGAAAGCAGGGACGCAAAGAGATACTTGAACCCCATGTTCAGCCCTGAAGCGCTGCCTTCTCAATCTTACTGCGCAGGCCTGGACCAGGTCACCCCTCTAGCCAGGGCAGCCTGTCCCTTCGGAGCCACGTGGCGTGGAGCGCCGGGCCACAGGCTCAGCACCTCCCAGAGGATCTGCCCGGCACCCAGCAGGCCTGGCGCAACCCCAGCGCCCAAGCTGCCTCCACCCATTCGCGTCTGGGGCAATGTCGTCGCTGGGCTCCCTCCTCCTGCACCCCCAGCCGCAGGAAGGCAGCGCCTCTCCTGCAGTTCCCGCTATGGCCGCTGGGTGTCGCCACACAGCAGAGAACCACAGCCGCCGGCCCTGATGGGCGTTTGGGGCCCGGAGGGCCTCCGCCTGGGGAATTCCTGCCCAAGTCTTTCTGGGCGCCCGCCCGGGTGGTCCCCAGCGGCTCAGAGCTTCCCTCCAGGCGCTAGGGGAGCATTTCAAACGCTTCACCCACTTGCTAAAAGGCACCCTGGGCACAGGCCCCTGCAAGCTGCCTTCCCCAGCTGAGCCCTCGCCCACCTTTGTCCTGCGGGCCTTCCACATGGAGGCCGCCCCCCATCTCCGCCGGGTGCAGGCCTCCTGCAAAGGGCATTTCAGATCCACCCCAGCCCTGCGGGTGGGCGCTGTGTTCCTCCCTTCGAGGGGCGACCCAGGGTCAGGGAGGCGACGGGGGAGCCGCCAGCTGAGGAGCTCGGCCTCTCAGGCTCTGGCGTTGGGCTTCCGTCGGCTCCATCACACTCCTGGGTCTGAGGCCCCGGCTCGCCGAGGGCAGGGCCGGGTGGAATGCCTGCAGGTAACTCTTGGGCCCCAACCTTTGCCAAGGCCTCTTCCTAACTCTAAGATGGCACCTACCACCTAAGTGTGCCAAACACTGGGCTAAGTGCTTTAGGCGTACCACAACCCCATGGGTAGCTACCAATAGTGCCCCCACTTTCCAGAAGGGGAAACTGAGGCACGCAGAGCAGGCACCGAGTCTGACAGCTGTAAGTGGGGGCGGGCGGACAGGGCTGTGTGCCTTCACTTCTGCCTGCCACACCTCCCGGGGCCCTGGGCCCCACTGAGTCCAGGGTCCCTCTGTGGGGTCAGATGTAGACACTGGCACCCTCCCTGGCAGGCACAGTCGCCTCGGGTGAGTGCAGCAGGGGCAGCCCCCGCTCTCCTGCATTCACACCTCACCCTCTCCTGAGGGCAGGGGTGCTCACACCAAGCATGAGAGCAGGTGAAACCTCCAGGGAATTTACAAGCTGACTGTGGGACTCGGCCACTGTTAACAAGGAAAACCTGGCCACGTGAACAATGGAGGGGGCCCGGGCCAGTTTGCTCAGTGGCTAGAACGTCGGCCTGCGGATTCTGTCAGGGGCACATGCCGGGGTTGTGGGCTCGATCCCCAGTAGGAAGCGTGCAGGAGGCAGCTGATCCATGATTCTCTCTCATCACTGAGGTTTCTATCTCCCCCTCTCCCTTCTGCTCTGACATCAATACATTTTAAAATGAAGGTAATAAGTACTTCAAAGTCATCGCCTGCTGATGTAACTACTGACCTTGAGACGAGTCCCGCCACGGCCTCCGTGTGTTGGACACGCTGTAGCCGTGGGCTCCTGAGCCCGTCCTCCCAGCTCCCAGCTCAGCGACATGGCCTTGGAGTTTGAAAGCACCCATGACAGGAGTTCTTATGCCCCGGAAATTGGCAAATGTTACAGATCAGGACTCCCGCCCCCCTCCCCAGAGAGCCAGTGTTAAGCAAGC